GAGGAGGAGCCGCCGCCGCTGTTGACCCGGCCGGCCGGGAGCAAGGAGAGATGCAGAGCCGGGCCGCCCGCACCCCTCTCCCAACGCCGCCGCTGCTGCTGCTGGTACTGCTGCCGCCACTACTGGGAGACCAAGTGGGGCCCTGTCGTGCCCTGGGATCCGGAGGACGCGGCTCCTCAGGGGCCTGCAGCCCCATGGGCTGGCTCTGTCCAGCTTCACCCTCTGATCTATGGCTCTGGACCAGCCGCTGCAGGGATTCAGAGACTGAGATAACTGGCCACCTGGTGCCCCACCACGATGGCCTGAGGCTCTGGTGTCCAGTATCCGGGAGTCATATCCCAATGCCACCAGACCCTGAAGGCTGCCCCTGGAACTGTAGCTTCCTGGGCACTGGAGGCCACGTTTCCCCACAGGGCACGTTCATCGTGAGCCAGGAACACCCTTGCTTAAAGGCCCCACGGTTCAGATGCTACTCTTGTAAGCTAGCACAAGCCCCAGGGCTCAGGGAAGGGGAAGGGTCACCAGAAGAATCTATGAGCGGGCGCCGGAAAAGGAATGTGAATACAGCCCCCCAGTTCCAGCCCCCCAGTTATCAGGCAACAGTGCCTGAGAACCAGCCAGCAGGTACCCCTGTTGCATCCCTGCGGGCCATCGACCCAGATGAGGGTGAGGCAGGTCGACTTGAGTACACCATGGATGCCCTCTTCGATAGTCGCTCCAACCATTTCTTCTCCCTGGACCCAATCACGGGTGCTGTAACCACAGCTGAGGAGCTGGATCGGGAGACCAAGAGCACCCATGTCTTCAGGGTCACGGCACAGGACCACGGCATGCCCCGACGAAGTGCTCTGGCCACACTTACCATATTGGTGACTGACACCAATGATCATGACCCTGTTTTTGAGCAGCAGGACTACAAAGAGAGCCTCAGGGAGAACCTGGAGGTTGGCTATGAGGTACTCACTGTCAGGGCCACAGATGGTGATGCCCCTCCCAATGCCAATATTCTGTACCGCCTGCTGGAGGGGCCTGGGGGCAGTCCCTCTGAAGTCTTTGAGATTGACCCTCGCTCTGGGGTTATCCGAACCCGTGGCCCTGTGGATCGGGAAGAGGTGGAATCCTACCAGTTGACAGTGGAGGCTAGTGACCAGGGTCGGGACCCAGGTCCACGGAGTGCCACAGCTGCTGTTTTCCTGTCCGTGGAGGATGACAATGACAATGCCCCCCAGTTTAGTGAGAAACGCTATGTGGTCCAGGTTCGTGAGGATGTGACCCCAGGGGCCCCAGTACTCCGGGTCACAGCCTCGGATCGAGACAAGGGCAGTAACGCTTTGGTGCACTACAGCATCATGAGTGGCAATGCTCGGGGACAGTTTTATCTGGATGCCCAGACTGGGGCTCTGGATGTGGTGAGCCCTCTTGACTATGAGACAACCAAGGAGTACACACTCCGGGTGCGAGCACAGGATGGCGGCCGTCCTCCACTCTCCAATGTCTCCGGCCTGGTGACAGTGCAGGTCCTGGATATCAATGATAATGCCCCAATCTTCGTTAGCACCCCCTTCCAGGCTACTGTCCTGGAGAGTGTCCCCTTAGGCTACCTGGTTCTCCATGTTCAGGCCATTGACGCTGATGCTGGTGACAATGCCCGCCTGGAATACCGTCTTGCTGGGGTTGGGCATGACTTCCCCTTCACTGTCAATAATGGCACAGGTTGGATCTCTGTGGCTGCTGAGCTGGACCGGGAGGAAGTTGATTTCTACAGCTTTGGGGTCGAAGCCAGAGACCATGGCACCCCAGCGCTCACTGCTTCAGCCAGTGTCAGTGTGACCATCCTGGATGTCAATGACAACAACCCAACCTTTACCCAACCAGAGTACACAGTGCGACTCAATGAGGATGCAGCTGTGGGCACCAGCGTGGTGACAGTGTCGGCCGTGGACCGTGATGCCCATAGTGTCATCACCTACCAGATCACCAGTGGCAACACCCGCAACCGCTTCTCCATCACCAGCCAGAGTGGTGGTGGGCTGGTGTCCCTTGCCCTGCCACTGGACTACAAACTTGAGCGGCAGTATGTGCTGGCTGTTACTGCCTCTGATGGTACGCGGCAGGACACAGCACAGATTGTGGTGAATGTCACCGATGCCAACACCCATCGTCCAGTCTTTCAGAGCTCCCACTATACAGTGAATGTTAATGAAGATCGGCCAGCAGGCACTACAGTGGTGCTGATCAGTGCCACAGATGAGGACACAGGTGAGAATGCCCGCATCACCTACTTTATGGAGGACAGCATCCCCCAGTTCCGCATTGATGCAGACACCGGGGCTGTCACCACCCAGGCTGAGCTGGATTACGAAGACCAGGTGTCTTACACCCTGGCCATCACCGCTCGGGACAATGGCATTCCCCAGAAGTCTGACACCACCTACCTGGAGATCCTGGTGAATGATGTGAATGACAATGCCCCTCAGTTCCTGCGGGACTCCTATCAGGGGAGCGTCTATGAGGATGTGCCCCCCTTCACCAGTGTTCTGCAGATCTCCGCCAATGATCGTGACTCTGGCCTTAATGGCAGGGTCTTCTACACCTTCCAAGGAGGCAATGATGGAGATGGTGACTTTATCGTAGAGTCCACTTCAGGCATTGTGAGAACGCTGCGGAGGCTGGATCGTGAGAATGTGGCCCAGTACATCTTGCGGGCATATGCAGTGGACAAGGGGATGCCCCCAGCCCGCACACCCATGGAAGTGACAGTCACTGTGTTGGATGTGAATGACAATCCACCTGTCTTTGAGCAGGATGAGTTTGATGTGTTTGTGGAGGAGAACAGCCCCATAGGGCTGGCTGTGGCCCGGGTCACAGCCACTGACCCTGATGAAGGCACCAATGCTCAGATCATGTACCAGATCGTGGAGGGCAACATCCCTGAGGTCTTCCAGCTGGACATCTTCTCCGGCGAGCTGACAGCCCTGGTGGACTTAGATTACGAGGACCGGCCTGAATACATCCTGGTCATCCAGGCCACATCAGCTCCCCTGGTGAGCCGGGCTACAGTCCATGTCCGCCTCCTTGACCGCAATGACAACCCACCTGTGCTGGGCAACTTTGAGATCCTTTTCAACAACTATGTCACCAACCGTTCAAGCAGCTTCCCCGGGGGTGCCATTGGCCGCGTGCCTGCCCATGACCCTGACATCTCAGATAGCCTGACTTACAGCTTTGAGCGGGGAAATGAACTCAGCCTGGTCCTGCTCAATGCCTCCACGGGAGAGCTAAAGCTGAGCCGGGCACTGGACAACAACCGGCCTCTGGAGGCCATCATGAGTGTGCTGGTGTCAGGTAAGGAAGGGCCCAGGTGGCGTCGGGGTGAGGGTAGCCCCTGAGGGAGGCCTGGGCAGCCACTGGAGGGAGGGAGTCATCCAAGGAGGAGCTACTCTCTGCCAGGTGTCTGCACAGAGGCTGAGGGGGCAAGAACCAGCCGGGGAAGAAGCCCCAGGAGTCCTGGCAGCTGGTGCAGGCCCCTCCTGCTGCCCCAGGCTGGGCTGGGCTGCTTCGGTTGGCTGCCCCCTGTCTACCCGCCTGTGACGTGGTGGAGGGAGTGTTGTGAGGCAGCCCTGGCTGTGGCTGCCAAGAATTGCGAAAAAAGATGCATGGAGGAAGACGGGGGGGTAGGGGGTGTCAGGAGAATGGGGGACAGGGAAGGGGACTGAGGCCGAGGAGTGGAGAGGCAAGCCACCCCCTCAGCATCCCTCACGCCCCACCAGGATATTCCTGTGATCTCATATAGCCTCTGGCAGAGCTGAGGGCTGTGGGGGCACAGGGTTGCCGCAGAGGGGTCAAGACCCTGCAGTCCTTTGCTGGCCCCTTCTTGCTGCCGGCTGAGCCGCAGAATCCAGAATCGGCTGACTCGGACTTTGTCTAGCGCATTCTTTTCCCTCCAGGCAGAAAGAGCCTGGCCCGGCTTTCCCTTCAGTAGCTCCCGCAGGAAGTGAGGCCAGAGCTCATTGTCTCTGTCCAAACAGACCCCACTGTCAGAGTCCGAGGGTCGGGTCTGGATTGGGGGAGGGGCAGCAGTGAAGCCAGGGCAGGCTGAGGCCACCCCATAGGCTGTTCCTAGGGTACCATGTTCAGGAAATGGGGTGTGGGGACCAGATGAACTAGGGGACTGCTGGACTTTGAGGGCAGAGACCCCAAGGCACCTGATCCTAGTGCAGGGGGGAGAGAACAGAGTCCCGAGGCGCGGGAGCCTGGCGAGGACCCAGGCTGGGGCATTCCTTCTGCTTGGCCAAGCGCTCAGCCCCAGACTCCCTGGACAGCCTGATTGGGGGAGAGAACTGGGGGGGGGGGGGG